TGCTATGGTCAAGATAGTTGATGGAGCAGATTTAGGAGGGTCTGCGATCGAATCCTGATGTTGTAGAGTGAAACTCCCCTTCAAAGTGAAACTTCCACCGGAAGTCTCGCTCTGGAGTAAGCCTTCCACCATATAAAGGGGAATATCTCGCTCTGTAGTTACACGTCTCCATCAGAGACATAACTCACTCAAAAGTCTCAAACCGTAATAAGAACAGGAAATGGATATTCACTTAAGAGTCGTACGTACCGAGTGTTATTATCCCCTTTGGAGGGTGCTAAATCTAGATCAATTTTCCTTACAGAGGATATGGTCTAAAGTGGGACTCTTCTCGTTAGGGCCCCGCAAGAATTTGCGGGTGCCCTATAGTAATCACTCTGTCCGTCCGTCTGTCTGTCTGTCCGTCTGTCACTCTTCCGTCCACAAACTTTCTGTTTTTTTCTAATAACTTTTTTTATGGTTGCCCAATCAAGTTCAAATTTGGTATGGTAGTTCAGTAGGCAGAAATACATATTTTGATGCTAAGTTTGGTTCTCTATGTCTTCTGGTTTGGAGGTGGGGTGGTGGGGTAGATTCCATAACTATGCATAAGAATGAATGAGCAATTTTTTTTTATGGTTGCCCAATCAAGTACAAATTTGGTATGGTAGTTCAGTGGGCAGAAATACATATTTTGATGCTAAGTTTGGTTCTGTATGTCCCCTGGTTTGGAGCTGGGGTGATGGGGTAGATTCCTTAACTTTATATACGAAAGCATTGGCAAAGAGAGATAACTGCTGAAGATGTTCCCATTGTAAACTGAATGCTGCTATGAGTCCCTTTCCTCATTTTAATTTATTTTAATTATTCTATTTACTCTATTTTAATTAGCTTTCCTCCAGAAGAAAATCCAGAGCATTATCTTTATCTGTCAAATTGAGATGAATTACCACCTCTGTCTGCAAATGAAGTTTGTTTTGAAGTTAAGTCAATTTTGAATTCTATGAACACTCTGAAATGTGGATTTAAATATAAATTTTTATAATTTATTTTTGTTTAATAGTTTTGATTTCATTGAATTCTAATAACAAGAAATAGATTAAAGAAGATTTTTTTAATTTACTTTTTTCACTTTATGTTAATGCAAGAATATTACTGTAGATTGGCAAATATTCACGATGGTTTTAATTTCGCTATGTTCGCGATTTATTAATTTTCCGCGAAATTAAACCCATCGTGAATGTTATTATTAGATTTTAATACTGTTAAATTCCTTATAGGAAATTTTGAATTAACTTCTTGCAGCGTGAAATTAAAACCATCGCAAATGGTACTTTTTGAGATATCGTGAAATTTTAACACCGTGGAATTAAAACAATTTACAGTATTAATTTTAGGATAGTTATATAAAAACCCCATTCTATCATTAATACTGAAAAAGTTCTTATTGTAACTTTAGAAGAAAATGATGAGAAAGGTACAATTAATCCCTTGGGATTAATTATCTAGCCTGCTGCAGAAAATTTAGTAGGCTTTTTTTTATCTTTCACTTTAAGATTAATGTAAATCTTTGTCTGCAACTGCTGTTTGTTTGAAGTTAAGGTCAAGCCTTCATGATATTTGCATTCATTGAAGGCTGGCATTTTACATAACACAAGCTTCATAATTGTTTAAATATACATTCAATGTTAAGTTGTTCTTTACTGCCTAATGTAAATACAAGGATATTATTTTCAGATTTTTGAATATTCAGGAATTATCTTGAAATTTTAAGAATATTCAGGAATTATCTTGAAATTTTAAGAATACAGTTGCTGTTGCTTATTCTCCGTACATTTTTTAATCATTCCGTAAGCTGCACCCTATTAATTCTACCCCATAGCGGGGCCCTTGCTGACTGGTCAGTTTTCTAGTTAAATTCCATTTTCGCTGTTTTATTCTTGACCGTGGGAAGTGTCACTCTACAAAAGACTTCAAAGGGGAAGTCTGACTATGGTTAAGGACATATGCAAAGTACCTTACCTACTAATATATTTTCAAGATATTCTAAATTTTAACTTATAATACCATTACATGTTCTTAGACAAAAAATCAACATGCGGTTCCAGGGGTTTTGAAAAGATGTCAAATTATGAAAAATTTTTATTTTTTCAAAGAAAATGTCAAAAACAACAAAACATAAATCCCAGATTTCTTTTCATCACCAATTGTTTTAGAAGAGGTGTAGAAATCCATTAATAGACATTAAAAGTATTGCACACAAGTCCTCCAATTAGTCGAACTCTTCAGCTCCATAGAAGAACCCATTCAAGTTTAAACTACGTTGCGTATGACCTTAAGTATCGCTCTACAACACCAGTTTGGTCTGTCGCATAAAAATGGGTCACTCTAGAGCAAGATTTTCAGGTGTCAGTATTGTTTGTTGAAATAATGTACATGTTATAGTAAATATGTGAAATCAAACATACACACACCGATTACCTTCCAGATCTTCACATTGCACATGTTCTTTTTTTTTTATCCTAGATTATCATTGTTACACATTTAAAAAATAGTTAATTAAAATTAAAAGTAAAAAATAACAATTGAAAATAAAAGTTTAATACAGTTGATCCCGAAAACTGTATTTATATGTGTTTTTACTGATTCAAATAAAATAATCTTTGAAGTAAAAAATTGTCCTTTCATTCTTAAATTTAATTACTTATCTAATCAATTCATGCTTTTAATTTTATTGACGAGAGTTGCCAATCATATCGATGAGAACAGTAAGTATCTTGGTATGCAAAATAAATGAATAGAATTCTACCATTTGAGACATATTCATTAAACTTAAACTTAGTAAACAATTCCTTAGAAGTCGCCCGCTTGGTGCAGTGGTATTCGTGTTTACTCTTGAGTATTTAGTAAGTACATGTAATTGATCTTTATGTCACAAATTCGAATCCCGATGTGGACTGGACCGATGAGACCGTATTACCCGAGGTCCCGTGTCGCAGTAGGTGCAAGTGCAAAAAAGATCCTCACTGCTCAATAATGTGGAGTACCGAGCATACTTCCAGATTTTCAATTATTTACCCGCATATCTCCATATGAGTGTAAGATTCTCGAGAGTGGCGCTAAACAACAAACGAACAAAATTTCCTCGAATATCTTTAAAACAGAATTTAACCCACGAAGTTTTACAGAAGATCCATTGAATGAAATGATTTATAGTTCAGTTCTATCTTATTCTATATAAATTCCGTTTAGATTTAGAAGCCAATCCTGTGCTCTTGGTCAGGTGTACAGCCATGAACAACAGATAAGAAGAAAAAGCAAAAATTGTGTCAAAAATGTGAAATAAATTACTCAAAGATCGTAAGCTATCGGTTCCAATCGGAAAATTCCCGCTAAAACACGTGATAAGATGTCAGAACCCTTACCGCTGCCGTAATTACAAAAAATGGTTCATTTCCATTATTCGTGAGTCACTGTACTGTTTCCTTGTCGCTTTCTTACTACAACCGAGACAAAATGTGTGGGGTTTACGGTTAGTTACAGATTATCTTGTATTTTCGTATATTTTCCCTATTGCAGACGTCGAAATCCTTGAGTAAGCTTAGACTTACATGTCACGGATGACCCCGAAACATAACGAAAGTTTATACGGTGGTCACTCGGTAGGCATACAGTACGGGGTAACTACAACATGCAAGAAATGAAGTTTCATCGCTGTTTTCAACGACTGTTTTGAACAGTTCAAAACAGTCGTAGCAATTAACAGGATCATTCAGGAGTAATCCGAGTTAACAGGGTTCACCACAGTAATACTAGTAATAACGGACTGACTGCGGATGTCTAAGAATTTTCACGGATCCCCAAATCGTAGCTTACCGTGATCTAAATTCGTGACAGTGTGACTGGGGCTTTATAAGTAATTTATCAAATTTACGCTCACATTGAACATTATATAGGGATTTTAAATATAAATCGCATTTGCAGTAAAGGCTATGGAGATAACGAACAGTATTCAAAGCATATTCCAAAAACAAAACAAAGTAAGAGCAGAGCAAGCACGGATCTCTTAAACATCTGAGGTGCGATAACGCATGTACTATGTTTGCATATACCGTTGAAGTTATGCACGAATACCAGATAGGCCCAAATCTGCGAAATAAAAAAAAAATATTTAACTCATTATAGGGTGTTATTATATCGTTAAAACGACTTACTTATCACTATGAAACAACTTAGTTATTTTGTTTTAACGTCTTTCAATAAATAATAATTACATGCTAAAATAATTTTCTATTTACACACATACAAATATTTTAATTTTCTCATTGCAGTGCAACCTAGCAAAACATCCAAAGACAGATGAAGACACAGACTCTCTCTGTACTTCAGTAAATAATCAGGATTTGTGTGGGGATGAAAGTGGAAGTCTGAATTCTGGAAACAAAAAAGGTAAATGTAGAAGTAAGGATATCAATGGATGTTTGAGTCGTTCATACAAATACAGTTGTACGTTTTAGCTGCTCAATAAAGTTTATATCGATAGACAAAAAAATCAAATTCAAATAACGTCTTTTAATGTACGGAATCGAGATATCAATACCTTGATTGACTAAATCACTGAAGAGAACATGTGTATTTGTATATTTTGTTAATGCTTTGATATTCCATGTGAACTATTTACATTTGAATATAGATATGTTCAAACTCTTTCGGTGATAAAGTAGAACACGTTCTAAATTGTAAGCATTTAAAGTACACTGCTTTTTATTATGTTCCCCAAACGAAGTTGGGGAACATATTGTTTTTACTCTGTTTCTTATTATTATTAAGGTCTTCCGTCTCCAACGGAAGACCTTCTTGTTTTCGTTCGGTTTCTTTTTCCCTATTATTATTATTATTCTTCCAACCGATTTTGTGCAAGCAATTTCTCAGAGATGGCTCGTCCGATTTCTACCAAACTTTCAGATCTGAAAGATATTCAATTGATCTTGATAGGTTTTTTTCCTTTTTGATTATCTCACTTCCGGTCCTGAGATATGGACGATTTTCTGATTTTCAGAGGGTCGGCTTGTCCGGGAAACTCCTCCGAAACGACTTAAGATATGGACTTGAGATTTTCAGGGAAAATAGAGGAAGGTTTGGTGAGTTGTAATTGGATCTCCAAATCTTTCTAGCGCAAAAGGCACCGAAGTTCGGTAGGGCCGAAAAAATGTCTCAGAAATATCTCACAAAATTTGACGCATTTTGTCTCATATCTTCACTCCTGTTCATAATTTGTTAAAACATATTGCAGACAAAATGTTCAATATCGCAAGACCTTTCATTTGATATAAAAAAAATAGGGCTGACCCTTCAAATTAGGGGCCAAGAGGGGCCAAAAGTCTTTTATCTATAACTCTCTAATGATCAATTCTTTGTTATACATTATTGATCAAAAGTATTCATCTTAACTATTAGATTATTACTATCTAAGTTGTTTGAAAATTGGCTTATCTGAATTCTAGATATTAATATTTGAAAATCTGAAGCGGGCCCCAGATGGCGGCTGTCTTTGTCAATTCCGCCATTTCGCAATTGGGGTTTATGGAGGCAGCTGAGCGTTTGATTAAACCATTCTGACATACGAATGCATGAAATGTAAACAAAACTACTTGGACTTTCACGTAGTAGTACGTTGCAATTCAGTGTCGATCTTAACACTTAATTTCCGTTTCACTACTTAAGTGTAACTGGGCAAGATACGATATATGTAATGTGTACAAAGACTTTTTAAACGTCGAAATAAAATAAAGGCGAAGAGAACGTTTTATTTATTTTATTTCATTGCAGCTATCACACCAATTTAATAGATAAGTTCAAAGAAAATGCGCGAATATTTACTCCTGGCGTTTGGCGCAAATTATTAATAGTGACCCGCCTTTTATGATTCTTAGACAGGTGTACTGTTGCAAAAGTATACACACAAGTATATTTAGAGCAGTACTCCCAAAAGCTTAATGGTTTGCGCGTTGGGGATAAAACAGAAAAAGGCGACATGGGTTCAATCCTCTTTGCGACCAAAATTTTGAATCTTTTTTTGTGATATTCATGGCATAAGTAAAGGTCCCTATTTGCTGATTTAACGTATAATCAGTTTCTAGATTTGATAAAGAAGAAATTAAATATCTTTGAATGTCTTAGAACTTTCGCAAGCGTAGGTTCAACGTTTTCTTAAACACTAAAAAATATTCATTTCATTTTCTCATAAATAGGCTGCGCGGATAGTACACATGGTGCCAATGTGCAGTTAAGGTCATACCCGTGATGGGGAATGGACCTGTAGAAAACCTTCTCTGGTTCTGCAGAGTCGAGTTTTTAGCAAATAAAATGTATGAAAATGCGCGAATATTTACTCGTGGCGTTTGGCGCAAATTATTAATAGTGACCCGCCTTTTATGATTCTTAGACAGGTGTACTGTTGCAAAAGTATACACACAAGTATATTTAGAGCAGTACTCCCAAAACCTTTATGGTTTGCGCCTTGGGGATAAAACAGAAAAAGGCGACATGGGTTCAATCCTCTTTGCGACCAAAATCTTGAATCACTTTTCAGCTCGATTATACGAGATTTTTTTTCCTGAATCGGACGGAAGACCTCTCGTTGCTAGCAACGAGATCGTTTCTAGTTATTATTATTTTTCTTCTTCTTCTTCTTCCTGGGTCCTTTTTTGTCCGGGAATGATCTCGTAAACTATACATCCGACTAAGGTGAAATGTTTTTAGGGTCAGTAGACATGTTATGTAGATTTGCGGAACGAAGGTCATTTTGCGCGCACGTGCTTGCAAGAGCGTGCACGTGCAACATGTGAAATGACCGATTTAATTGATATAGGCGTAACTTTTTAAATTTTTGATGAAATGCTTTAAAACTTATAACATAAGGATATATTAGTAGCATAGACAATATGACATGGTCAAAATAGCAAGATCTCACGCGCATGAACGTGCGCTTTGCTCTGATTGGCTGAAACTAAAGTCTCAATATCTTTCTTGTTTATTGACGAAATCCTTTGAAATTTTGAACATAGCCATGCATTACAATATCCTACAACATGATATATAGCAATTATCATGAAAACACGTGCATGCACGTGCGCTGCAATCTGATTGGCTGAAACTTTAAATAGCTATAACTCCTTTGATTTTCAACCGAACAGGATCGGATTTGGAACATAGATAGATATACTGGTCTACTACAAGAAAATATGGTCACCATGCACATGCATACACGTGCATGTACGTGCGCTGCAATCTGATTGGCTGAAACTTTAAACAGCTATAACTCCCTTGGTTTTCAACCAAACGGGGTGGGATTTAGAACATAGATAGATGTAACGGACATCTACAAGAAGGTATGGTCACCATGCTCAAGTATGCACATGCGTGCACGTGAAATGAGCAAAATCCAAAAAACACTTGAATGAGCGCATCTTTTTTAATACTTTTGGATTAAATACTTTAATATTTAGTATATTAAAATATATAGATTGTGTAGACAAGATGATATGGTCATTACACACATGCATTCACATGCGCACGCGTGCAATGCTAAAATTTGAATGAACTTTGTACACTTCTGGGTAAACGTTGTTAAAGTCTCAAATGCATCGAGTGTGTCTTATTTCATGAAGCTTCCAGGGAATATGGCACCAAAAGGGAGTTGGGGAGCATTTGGGGAACATCTGTAATGGTCCCCGTTACAATTAGCACTAGTTTACAATGTATTTTACAACGTTTGCAATTTATGACACTATGTATCATTACAACCTTATCAAAATAAATTTGTTTTATGTACCCAACAGATCCGTTATCAGATTTAACAAAAGATCAGTGTGTCGTTCTCTACACATTGTTCCTATGTATGGGTAACTACATATTTATCATAAAAGATGGCGACGTCTCTATGGGTGACATTGATGTCTGGAAGAGAGTGAAGGAGCTGGAGAACAAAGGACTGGTGTTGCCTTTCAGTGACCACAAAAAGCGCATCCTATATGATAAACGATCTATGATAATGAAATACTTCAGAGAAGACTGCCTGCAGAGTGAGATAGACAAGGACTTCTTCATACAGGTAGCCTCAGATGAATCCATAGAAACATATGCTGATGTGTACTGTCGTCATGGAGATGGTTCCAGGGAATCAGAAGACATCGGTCCTATAACAACGATGAGACTGATTGTAGAGGGTCGCAGAAACAGGTTACCCGACTCTGTAAAAGGTACATGTACATACATGTATTTTTGATAAATCATATCCTTGTTATATAATTCTAATTTATTTTCTAAATATATCCTTTTATAGAAAAAAAATATGTTATATCATTTTCTTTCAACGTTAATTAAATCTTGATTCCGTAATTATTCAAATGCTATATACATGAATCATTATTATGTACATTTTTGTACACTGAGAACATAAGCAGTGTTGATTTTTGTTGGTTAAATATACGCAGTAGGGGGTCCCTCTTTCTTATGTGTGAATAATATTTCATACTCTGCTCCTCCTACAGTGAATGTAAGATTTTATAAAACTGTATAAACATTAACAAGTAAACTAAACTACAATAAATGAATCTCTATTAATTTTTTTTTTATTTTTTACCACCTTTTCGCGATTAAAGAAAATTCTACAGAATTCTTTTAAAACGCTTCAACTTCAACAGTTTTGATCTCGTATTACATAAACATGTAGTACATGTAACCCACACGATCGAGTAGACTTAATTGGGCAGCATAATTATTCGATTCAGGTTTTGATTCGGAAGAACGATTTAAATATTACCATGCATATTAATACTTCACGCAAATAAAAAAATATGAAACAGTCAGTCAAACAAAGTACTCCCATACAGATTTGTTCTGTTTAATAAACCTGATCCACAAGTTAACTTTTTAGACATAATTAATGGACTTTTACTATACATACCATTTGTATACGGAAGACGATCAAGATTCTACTTTAATTTATTTTCTGTTACTAACTCTCTTTTTAGGTCACCTGAGTAAACTGTTTTCGTTTGAGTATATCTGTTTTCGTCCATCGTCGTGCGGTGTGCGTCGTCCGTTAACATTTGAACATTTTCAGCTTCTTCTCTGCAACCACTGAACCAATTTCAACCAAATTTGGCACAAAGCATCTATGGGTGAAGGGGAACAAAAATTGTGAATTTCATGGTCCCTGCCCCCTGGGGCTTGAGGGGTGGGGCAAAAACCACTAAAATTAATGCAATCTTTAAAAATCTTCTTCTTTACTCCTGGACATCAAGCAGTCAAACTGCATGATTGTAAAAAGCATTGAGTCCTCTACCAAAATTGTGAAATTTATGGCCCCAGGGTCAGAGGTTCTAGTGCTAGGGAGGGGCTAAATAAGTATATAGTGAAAATGCATTATTTCTTTTAAAATCTTCTTCTCTGCTCCTGGGCATTTAATAAACTAAGAACCAAGTGCATAGTTATGATGAGCAAGATTGCCTCTACCAAAATTGTGAATTTTATGGCCCCAGGGTAAGGGGTTCTGGTGTCAGGGCAGGGCTCTATTGATTATATAGTGAAAATACATGAATTCTTTGAAAATCTTCTTCTCTGCTCCTGGGTATTAAATAAACTAACTAAGTGCATAGTTATGATGACCAAAAGTGCCTCTACCAAAATTGTGAATTTTATGGCCCCAGGGTCAGGGGTTCTGGTGTTAGGGCGGGGCTCTATTGATTATATAGTGAAAATACATGAATTCCTTGAAAAATTTCTATTCTGCTCCTAAGAATTAAATAAACTAAGTACATAGTTATGATGAGCAAGAATACCTCTTCCAAAATTTTAATTTTATGGCCCTAGGGTCAGGGGTTCTAGTGATAGGGTGGGGATCTATTGATTATATAGTGAAAATACATTAAATCTTTGAAAATTTTCTTCTCTGCTCTTGGGTATTAAACATATGAACTACCTATGTTGTTATGATGAGCAAGGACCCTAATCTTCCAGAATTGTGAATTTCAAGGCCCCAGGGTCAGGGGTACCATAGGGGGATGTACTTATATACTGAAACTGGATGAATTGTATAAGATTTGCTCCTTGGTATTAATCAAATATTTTTGAAAAGCAAGGGTGCCATTTCAAAAATTGTGCAATGTGTGGATCTAGGCCTAAGGGTCAGGGGTTCATGTGTGATAGGGGCATTACAGATTATTGCTGAATATTACTGATTACTTGAAATGCATTTTTTGTTCCCCCACTCTGCCTATGGGTATAAAGTAAACAAACTTAGCAACTGCTATGTGTATTGTTATGATGATCAGTGGTGCCTCTTTCAAAATTGTGAACGCCATAGCATCTGGCTTAAAACATGAATCAAATTAAATCACTGGAAAGTTGTTGCATAATGCTCAGGTGACCTATAAGGCCCATGGGCCTCTTGTTCAATCTTAGAAACAGTTGATACGGCACCAATGATGCACTTAAAAAATTAACCTTCTGCGTGTGATTCCGGAAAAACTCTTTGTAATAGAAAATATCTTAGGGACAAATCTACACCCTGGCCTTCATTGTGTATTATAATTAAGTCAATAAAACGTTTAAAAAAAGATTTTGACAAAACATTATTTCTGGCCATTGATAATTATATAGGTGTCATAGAAGCTATATTAGATATTCACAATTTTGATTTTATAGTTTCTTTAATCCGGTACTTTTTGGTTCATTCATATATTTACAAAACAGGAGTCCCATGTCACTCACGTACGATTTCTGGGCCTGAATTTCGATATTGCGAAAAATCGAAGAATTGAAAAATTGTATAATCTACAGAAAAGCTCCCCCTTTAATTATGAAATTCATTCAATGTCTATTTCAATTTTCTCTGGTAGAAATATCCTACTTTAATTAACAATGGTACTAGCAAAGAATGTACATTTTTGTTTTATATGTAGATGAAGTTCCTGCGTGTCTCATAAATGACAAGAAGGAGTGCGATATGTTTGTAAAGTTTTGGGGCAAAGCAAGAAATACAGACCCTATAACATTGTCAAACCAAATTCCTGATGAGAAAGTTAAAAACTTTTATTCTGCTTTTACCGTCCTTTCGGATATAAAAAATGGTGAGTATTCTCTATGAATATGACGATTTATATATTTGTTGCTTGATGACTTGACTGCTTATATTATATAGATTTAAACAAGCTTGACCAAAAGCCATTTTTTATTGTTTCTTAAAGCGGCATACATGACTTGATGATTTGCCAACCAAACGTTCGAGCTCATTTCGAACATTTATCAAAAGCTTTTGGCAAAAAAAAATTAATAAATAGTTTCTCAGGCACCGCAGCATCAATTCAAAAACGGCCGCATTGATCAATTTTAGCGGTAATTTTAGCCCAATTTCCTATTTTTCCAAGTTGAAAAAGAAAATTATTTCCCTTTTCATAATTACAAAGACAAACGTTTGTATTAGAAAAACATTATATTTCTTCTAAATTTGCAATATCTTATAAATTAACTTTTAATTAATTGTTTGGAATAACATTATTTAATGTTGAATATATATTATAACTAATTCAGAGAAAAAAAATTAAGAATTAGTAATTAATTGTTCTAAATCTGATTATGTTAAATTTGACCAAACATTACTTTTTTTTTTATTAAACTGGACATTTAGTGAAAAATGACCACCTTACTTTTCTTTAATATACATTTAGAGAGTATATTAGCAACACGAGCCCTCTACCGACCATTATATTCTACTTCAATAAAAAAAATCGTATTTGTGTTAAAATTATTTGAGGAGAGAGAAATGCATACCTAATTTAAAATGCATAAAGATACATGTATATATGTTCGAGCTCGCACACCAAAATTCGTGGCAATATCTTCAAGCATGTAAAAAAAAATCAACGGAAACATAAACGGGAGAGACGGAAAAATAGAGAAAGAGACAGAAGGAAAGATAGTAAAACAGAGAGATAACATATCTTGTAAATGCTAATTACAAAATCATAATGAATATGAAATTTTACTTTTCTTTGCATTTACTATCTATGTAGTACCGGCATTTGTGTTAAATCTATACGGCACCATCTCTAAATACATATATTGTACATGTATAAAAATGATCTGAGAAAAGTACACTATATAATGATAAACTTTGCTTACTATAAACAGCAACAAAAAAGAATGTTGTATAAAATGTCTCTAAAAACCCCCCAGTGATAGATTAATAAATAATCGCTCTTGTTTCTCAAAGAGTTAAATCATTTGAAAATATGCAGGTGATCTATGGCCAATGGTGTTTCTTTTAAACCTATCCTAATTCATTTATAAATTTTAAAAAAAAAGTTAACCAATGATGAAATCTTATTTACAATGCAAAGACATATTTAAACATTTTTACATCAAAACTCAAAAAAATTTACATGTAGGTCATTTGTGGAACAAACTATTTGTAATACATAATGTGTATCCATTCATGTCACTATACATGTACATGCGTGTTTTTTAATAATGTCTTTTTATTAAATTTTTTGCAGAGTTAAAGGAAATGCATTTGTCAAAGAAAAAATGGAGTATATTGATATCCATACTTATGTCAGAAAGATATTCCATTTGTAAAAGTGAACAATGCGAGGAAAAACGAAAAAATATTCAACAAACATTCGAAGCATTGCAAGATGTTAAGGAGGAGAGGGTTGAAGAAGATTTGGTACTCTTAAAGGAATTGGAACACCGTGATGAATTGTTAACTGTAGATAAAGAGAACAATATAGTTTCCTTTTTATCAGAGGAGGTCCGACACCAGGTGATGGGCTACTTTGTTTTGAATTGCTTACAAAGGAAGGAGGATTATGAAAACTATCTAAATTTTTCCTCAATGGACTCGCTCATTGAATACGTGCGGCCACTGGGATACTTGAGACAGAGTACAGAACGATGTATGTACCTACCAAAAGGAACAAAAGAGGTATTCGTAAGAAGATTTGGTATAGACGCCATACATTATGCAACACCAGGACATAACGAGTTTATGGACGCAATACTTTCAGACCGTGAGTTAATCATAGATTTATGCATATGATATTATATGTCTCATCAAAACACTTATGATATTGTCCCAAATGATATTTCTTTTTAATATAAATTAATTAAAAAAAAACTCGGGATTTGAAGAGTTAGCAAACACAATACTTTCAGAACTTGAGTTAATCATAGATTTAGACAAAAGTCATTTCATATTGTCTGTCTTATCAAAGCATTTATTATGGTTGTGTAAATTCAAGTTTGTTCAAATCATGAAGCCTGGAAGCAGTGCTCAAATGAGCGATGTTGCCTATGTGCCTCTTGTTTTGAAAAGTCAACATTTATTAATTAAGATTCAGTGTCTTACATGAAAGAAAAGAGAAGAGTTCTTTTCCACAAATAAGGAAAAAGGGAGACAATGATTGATTGTTTGAATATACATGTACCATATTTAGAGGTGTAACGATACAGCGATACATCGATCGTATTGATCGTGGGGACTCACGATACGCGTATCGTATCGCGAGGTGTGTATCGCGATACGACACGAATAAATCATACTTCACTTATTTTAATAACCTTATTATTCTACGTACGACTTAATGAATTTAAACGTACCCAACAAAATGGCGGGACTCGATGTCCCTGCTTTGGACGAATCTAAAGTGGATATCGTAAACCCTCCCGCAATATTTAAATCAGCGGTATGCAAATCATTTGGGTTTCTTAAATCTGACAGCAAGAAGGTCGTATGTCGCGAGTGTTATATTATATTGCCGTACAGCGGTAATACGACAAATATGTTCACTCATTTACGAAGGCACCATGGTGTGAATCCACAGGACATAAACAACAACAATGGAAAGCAAAAATCATCGGAGCCAGTCCCAAACCGAAACATATTACAGAAAAGTACGGACAATCAAACCAGATTAGAGCACTTCAAAGTTGTCAAGCTTTCTGGAGAGAAAAAAGAGTTAATAAACTTAGCCATAATGAACTTTATAGTTCAAGACATGCGACCCTTTAGAATCGTCGAAAGTCCAAGTTTTGTTTCGCTTGTGAAACTGTTAGAGCCGAAATATAAGTTGCCTTCCAGACAATATTTTTCAGAGACACTACTTCCGAGTATGTATTCTGCTGGGAAGGAAAAGGTTGCTGCAAAGCTTGGTGATGCCCAGTTTGTTGCACTGACAACCGACGGGTAAGTTTTATACTAAATTTTATCAATCAATTTGAACAAACATTTTTCATTTTTTGGTGATGTTTTTGTGACCAAAAAAATAAACATTTAAGCCAAAAAAATTAATAAATAAACCGTGATTTTTTTCGTTGAAAATTTTAATGTAATATACTCAAGATAGGTTTTATGAAAGTAAAAAGAAAATATGAAATAAAACTGACATTTATTCAATATTCATACTGTGGCTACAAGCAGAATATCATTTGTTTTAATCTTTTTTTCAGCTGGACATCAAGAGCAACCCAGTCTTATGTTACTATTACAACCCAGTTCATTGATTCTGATTGGAATATGCAAAGCTTTGTCCTACAGACACGTATCATGGAGGAAAACCATACTGGAGTAAACATTGCCCAGGTTTTGTTGAATGCTGTTGCTGAGTGGAATTTAACTTCCAAAGCCCCTGCTCTAGTTTCCGACAATGCTGCCAACATGGTGGTAGCAGCCAAGGAAAGCAAGCTTTCCCCATTTGTAAGATGCTTTGCACATACACTCAATTTAGCTGCCCAAAGAGGTTTGAAAGTGAAGCAAGTTTCAGTGTTGTTAGCTAAAATCCGAAGAATTGTGGTTTTTTTCCACAAATCATCAGTAGCAGCAACTACCCTGGTGAGAAATCAAAAGTTGCTATCACTTCCCAATCATAAATTGAAAATTGATGTTTGTACACGATGGAACTCGGCCTATGACATGATAGAGCGTTTCCTTGAACAACAACCAGCTATATTTGCAGCTTTTCAGTCCCTAAAGGATTTAAGAAAAAGAGAGAATGACCTTGCTTTATTATCAGACAGTGATATTACAAATGCAGAGGATGTCATGAAAACTATGGCTCCCTTAAAGTCAGCAATACAGATGATGTGCACAGAACAAGGTCCAACTCTGTCAGTTATTCTTCCTCTTCTATCTAAACTTCTTCAAAACTTCAAACCTGATGATGGGGATTCAACACTTACCCGGAATCTAAAAACAACAATGAGGGAAGACCTTGAAAAGAGGTAAACTAAACTGAGTATGATGAGTTAAATAATGTTTCAACTTTTTTCAATATTGTTAAGATACACATGTATTAGATAAGCTATAGTGTTTATGTTTTTCAGGTACACAGAGGACAGAGAAGTTCTCCAGATTGCAACAGTAATAGATCCACGATTTAAAGATTTGCCCTTTTTGGATGAAAATGAAAAAAACCAGATCATGCTCCGACTTACCACATTAGCCATTAGTAAAGCCCCCCTAGATGGAAGCTTTCAGGTATTTTTTTGTTGTTGCAAAACAACAATCTATTACACTTTTATGGAATTCATTAAGATACCTATATATAAATAAAGCATCACTTTTTGCAGACACAGATGATTAAACAGGAGCCTGAATCCTTGACAGTTGAGCCACAGCCAGGAAGAGCTGATCCAATGCCAATGCAACATACATTACCAAGTCTTGTCCCACCTCTTCCAGCACTACCTGATACACATACATCTACTGCAGCAGCTGCTGATAGTGATATAACAGCAGAAAAATCACCACCTAAAAAGAAGTCAGCTCTGGATGATTTGCTGGGGGATGTTTTTATTCAAAAAGTTGAAGTTTTACCTAAGAAATCACCCTTAGAAAAAGTAAATCTCGAAATTATTCAATATCAGAAGGAGAAACCATTAAGTTTGACCGGCAATCCCCTTAATTGGTGGAAAGAACACGAGATCTTTTATCCATTTCTATCCCATCTGGCCAAACTGTACTTAGGAATTCCGGCGACATCTGTTCCGTCTGAGAGGGTGTTCTCAAGTGCGGGTGACATAATATCTGCACAGAGAGCCACTTTAAAACCGGAATATGTAGACATGATGATTTTCTTGAAGAAAAATCTGTAATTGTTCTATAACTTGTTCTAGTGATTAGTGAATCTAGTCATTATGATTTAGTTCTTGACATGAGGTAAACTATGCCTCATTGACTATTAGTATTTTTGTAACCTGTTCTAGTCAGTAGTCAATAGTCATTAATATTACAGTATTAACAGTAACATTTTTACAGTTTATTTTTGTCTTAATAAACTTGTTTGAACAGTCATTGAGTTTTATTTAACATATAAAAGAGAGAAACAATAAGGAAACAGAACAATTATATGTAATGCATGTTTGTAAAGCTCATTTTATTTGTTAACAACTGTATCGCGATACATACTGTATTGCACTAGTGTATCGTGATACGTATCGTATCGCGAGGTAGCTGGCGATACTCAGGCCTAACCATATTTGAATACGCATGTGCTTTTTTCATCTATATCCCCTGTTGAAAAATTGGACCCCATATTGGAACTGATGCAATTGAAACTTAAATCTAGAATAAAATGGAATCTCAAAAAAATCTGTAACAGACCTATTGAATAACCAATTCCACTTATTTTGCTCTCCTTTATTCTTATCTGAATTTAGTTATTGAGAAAACTAAGAGAGGATTAGGCATTTAGATTTTTAGTTACCCCATTCAATATCTCACCATTTACGGGTTTCATGAGTTTTCTGGAACAACTTGTATTTAATAATTTTAGTTCAATTTAAAGGTCACTTGCATAAACAAATCAATAAAAGTCGAGTTCCAAGAAACAAAGGATTCAAAATTAGTCCTCAATGATGGTTTAATGGTTGTCTTTATGTCACCATTAAGCACCTTTAAGTTACATTAACACCACCATTAAGTTACCATTAAACCATTAAGCCATCTCAAAGTCCTTAATGGGTGCTTAAATGTAGCTTAATGGTAACTTAATGGTAGCTTAATGGTGGCTTACAGGTCCTTAATGGTAGCTTTTCGACTTTTAAGTCACCATTAAGCCAAACGTATAGGTGCTTAAACTTCATTAAGCTATCATTAAGCTACCATTAAGTCACCATTAAGCCACCATTACGCAGTCGATAATACTGTTTTTATGGGTGAAAAATTATTCTTATAGTGATTTATTATCAAAGTTATAAATGTACAGTTCACACACATCGATTTGGTAAAAATAAGGAAAAAAGAACAAAATTAAAAAAAGAAAAAAAAAAAAAATCACCAGAAACAGGGCGCGAATCCATGACCTTTGAAAGAGATGGCGAATGCCTTAACCGTTAGGCTATCACCGCTTACGATTTTGTGGGAAATTATTAAAGCTTTATTCAGTAGGGATGTCAATTTTACTCGGACAGCTTAGTCGAATAGTCGGATGCTTTAGTCGAACGATAGTCGAATATTCGTTTAAATTTAATTATTTTTCATATCATTTTCATTGTTTGTCTTTTACAGAGTATAGTTTACAATTTTAAATCTACGCTATCACCATTATGCATCGAATTTCTGAATTGTAAACATGTACATAGTACAATTATAGAAACTGTTCATCGATATGTATCAAATGTATTTAATTTCAAAATTAATTTATTAGCTACACATTTTATCTAAATGCATAATATCTGCAAACGCTCGTATTTGTCCTTTCTTTACATAACGGTAGTACATGTATACCCCATAATTGAAGCCAATTTCTACGTGTCCGTCAATGATCTTTGACAGGTAAACAATTAAAGCCTGTCTCTTACAAAAACAAAGAGAGAGCGAGAGCTTGGAATAAATCTTAATTATGAAATTTTGTGCAAACAATCAATGATTGTGTGAAATTAATATCAGAAAAAGAAAACACGGTTTAATTACTCTCATACCTGACCCCAATTTACATGTTTTTACAATTTTGTAATAGCCGTTTAATTAATATTCTTTCTGAATATAATTGTATCACGTCAGATCTTAGTTTGAATCTTCAAAACTAAACAAATGCCCTCTCCATTTAAAACAGTAAGAGGTAGACAATCATTAATTATTAATAAACGTTTGATTTTCTTTCTCAATCTGTTTTTTGTCAATTTTGCGGAGAACTTTACTTTAGGAAAGTTTCACTTGAAGACTGTGTATATGTTTGACTGATTCGGTATATGATACATCATGTTTGATGTTAAACTGCAGAATACAGTTCTGTTTCACATACACTGTTTACGTGTTTGAATCTACCGGTATACCAAAACTGTAGATTTTGAAGACATGTTTGCCGAACATACATCGACGTACAAATAATATCCTTTGAACAGTAATACCATACCCTTAATTTTACATATGAAAATATTGAACTGTTAAATAAATGAAATGGGCAAATATAAGTTTATTGCCTTGAATTCAAAATTACTTTGATAAAACACATTTTTAACGAATAACCGACTAAAGAAATTTTAGTCGATAGTCGGTATGATCGAACGATAGTCGAGTACTCGATTATTCGTTGACATCCCTACTTTATTGTTCACAAAATTTGTGTGGACTTGTAAAAGTATTTATTTTGTTGTACGTTTCAAAAGTCATTTATTAATCAAAATATAAATAATTGTATTTTTGGATCTTTTTAAAAGGCTTTTATCATGTTTATATCACATCGCTATTTCAAACCGTTCAGTTCGGCATTAAGAATGATGTAATGAATTTTTACGGTTTCTGTGTCTAAAATTTAGTGAAAATCCTTGTGTACGGTAAGAATTACTTTGTTACGTTTACAAAAACTTTATTTAGAATAGCATATTCAGTTAAGATTCTTTTTGTTTCATAATGGGTATCAAAATATTTGTCCTTTTACAATAAAGAGCAATGCTAGAGTCTGAAATATGTTCAGTTGCCGATATGAACTGCTTTTATCAAGAACTTTGCAACATTATTATCAATGCGTCAAATAAATGCATTCCTCAGGCAGGGTTTAATCCCCATACACAACCAAGGTGGACGACGGCATTCGACTGAACGTAATCTCCGACGCATATGGATAAATGAGGGAAGGCCAAGAGGCATGATACATGACTTATATCGAAATTACAAACGCGCTAAAAGAAAATTTTCAGACGCACACACTATTCAATATGAAAATTTTATGCGAAACGTTTATAAAGATCTCGATGAAGCGGCAGAATGTGATATACGCTTGTTCTGGAAGCTAGTAAAAAGACAGAAGGTTAAAACCTCTCGCACATACCCAGAAATTTTATCAAACGGAGTATCTTATCGCGATCTATCAGGTGTCAAGCATGCATTTGCCACCCATTTTGAAAACATTTATACTCCATCTAAAGAATCGTCTTTTGATGAAAGCTTTTACTCTCAAATGGAGTTAAGATACTCTACCATCAAAAAACAGTGTCTACAATCACTCGATGACATTCCAGGCGGCCCAACTTCTACCGCGGAAATATCAGAAATATTTAAAAATCTTAAGCGCCGTAAAGCTCCCGGACCAGACCTTATTACCTATGAGCATCTAATGTTCGGAAGCGATCATGTGACTCAATGTATCGTGAAACTCCTTAAATCATCATACACCTTGGAAAAATACCAGAAATCTGGAAATAAGGATTCATCGTGCCTCTATTTAAAGGAGGTAAAATAAACCGAAAACATCATGCACTAGTTATAGTTCTGTTGCTTTACTATCATGCTACCTGAAAATCTTTGAAAATGTAATACACTCAAGAATTCGAGATCTTATCATCAACCCTGACCATTTTCCCTGCAAACAACAACAACGGTTTCAAAAACAACTGGGTTGCTTGACTGCATCGTTCAATACACAAAAAACCATTTTCATAATATTGTGCAAGGCAGCAATGTCTATATGAGCATTTTAGATAGTTATAATAAAACAGATTCTACTATTTTTGAAAGCTTTCGACACGGTTTGGAGACATGGCCTCCTCGTTAAATTGTACGAACTAGGTATTTCGGGTAAACTTTGGCCGATCATGAATGACTGTCATACGATACATCTAGTGCAATCTTTGTTAACCAAAAACAATCTAAATGGTTTCCAGTTTTACAAGGAGTACGACAAGGTGGAGTTTTTTCATCTTTCCTATATCTTGTGTACATTTACGAACTTGTTGTCAACCTCGAAAAATCTAGTATAAATACAGGCATCCTTGGAATAACTAGTAATTGTCCTACATTAGCAGATGATATTGCATGCATTGGAATAACCCCAGCTTCTTTACAAAATATGCTTAATATATCACACAAATATTCTAAAAAATGGCGTTTTTCCTTCAGTGCTCAAAAATCATGCATACTACAAATGCTTACCAAAGGCTCCAAATAAGAATTCAGCTTGCATTTGGAAACTGGGTGATATCCCAATCCCTTGTTCCCTAACTTATAATCATCTGGGGATCATCATTTACGACAAACTTAACCTTTCACTCAGGATTCTTTCAGCGTGTCGCAAAGGACAAAAGTCATATTATGCGCTGAACGATATTAGATCGATCTATCTTAATTCGCTCACTTTATCTCATCTGTATAAGACAGTTGTGCTACCCACAGTCCTCTATGGATGCGAACTATGGAACAACCTTTCTATAACTGATTACCAACGCCTAAATGTTTTTCAACATTACATTTGTAAAAATGCTCAGAATCTCCCCACAAAGACACGATCTGACATATGTGAAAGTCTTTGCAATGTTCTACCTATCAAATCCGAAATAGATGTCCGTAAACTGCTTTTTCTCGGGCGAGTTTGCCGCATGGATCATCGTTCTCTTCCTAAAAAAGTATTTTTGACACAGTTATATTCATTTTTGGAAAACATATCAACCAAACAACTTGGTTTCATACCCGATATTATCTCAGTTTTTAGCTCTACTGGTCAGAGACCAGAAGAGCTTATGCGATAGTAATGCGTCCGGCGTCCGTCCGTCTGTCTGTCTGTCCGTCTGTAAACAATTTTTCAAAATGCTACTCCTCCTACAATTTTAGTTTGATTTCAGTAAAACTTGGCACACAAGTAGACTACACTAAGATACATAGAATAGTGCATCGGTTTTTGATTTCGATGAACGGTGTTGCCATGGTTACTAAAAATAGAATTTTCTGTGAAATTCCTTAAAAACGCTACTCCTTCTACAGTTTTGGTCTGATTTCAATATAACTTGGCACACAAGTAGACTACACTAAGATACATAGAATAATGCATCGGTTTTTGATTTTGATGAACGGTGTTGCCATGGTTACTAAAAATAGAATTTTCTGTGAAATTCCTTTAAAACGCTACTCCTTCTACAGTTTTTGTCTGATTTCAGTATAACTTGGCACACAAGTAGACTACACTAAGATACATAGAATAGTGCATCGGTTTTTGATTTCGATGAACGGTGTTGCCATGGTTACTAAAAATAGAATTTTCTGTAAAATTCCTTAAAAACACTACTCCTTCTAAAGTTTTTGTCTGATTTCAATATAACTTGGTACACAGGTAGACTACACTTAGATACATAGAATAGTCCATCGGTTTTTGATTTCGATGAACGGTGTTGCCATGGTTACTAAAAATAGAATTTTCTGTGAAATTCCTTTAAAACGCTACTCCTTCTACAGTTTTGGTCTGATTTCAATATAACTTGGCACACAAGTAGACTACACTAAGATACATAGAATAGTGCATCGGTTTTTGATTTCGATAAACGGTGTTGCCATGGTAACTAAAAATAGAAATTTCTGTGAAATTCCTTAAAAACGCTACTCCTTCTACAGTTTTTGTCTGATTTCAATATAACTTGGCAGACAAGTAGACTACACTAAGATACATAGAATAGTGCATCGGTTTTTGATTTCGATAAACGGTGTTGCCATGGTTACTAAAAATAGAATTTTCTGTAAAATTCCTTAAAAACGCTACTCCTTCTACAGTTTTTGTCTGATTTCAGTATAACTTGGTACACAAGTAGACTACACTAAGATACATAGAATAGTGCATCGTTTTTGATTTAGATGAAC